TGCTTCTCGTGTATGCCTGAAACTATAAAGATCACGAATTACAATAAATATTACCTATTTAACTATAAAGACACGCATGCTAACCTTTGTTATATTTCGAACCCGAGTTGCAAGCACCATCACAATCTGTGAAGCCTTGTATGGCCCTGTCTTTTATACACATCTAGATGTGTATAAGAGACAGACCCGAGTTGCAAGCACCATCACAATCTGTGAAGCCTTGTATGGCCTCTTTATTTTTACATTTACCCATACCTGGCTGTACAACTTCAATTAACTCCAGAGTCAGTGGTTCAGCCAATGAAACCGGTAAGCAGTTCTCTGTAAATAAGACAAATGCCGATAAAAATCGTTATAAAGGYCGTAATATATAGAAATAACTCCGAACAACTCACTTTGGTTATCCACAATCAGCTCCGGCTTGCATACCTCGCAGCAACCACTTTCGGAGGGCACCAACAAGTGCTCTGGACACGCGGTCACATCTGGGCAAGTCTCCTGTGATGATGAGACTATCAAAACCTCTCCTTTACGCAGACAATTGTATGTTGTGCAATTGTCAGCGCTCGTCCAAGTAGCGCCCTCTTCGTACAGTTCGTTACCCAGCACACATTTCTCTTGCACGCACTCCCCACAACACTTCAGTTCAGKCACCTTATTCTCATATTTAAAGCCAGACGGACAGTAGGTGTCACAAGTCTCTGTCGTTGTTATGACTAATGTGCTGCCATTCGGACCATAAGCGCACGTCTCCTGCTTACAAGGATCCGTGGGATGCGGCCATTTTGCGTTCAGCGGTTTAATGAAGTTCTCTCCCAACCCATTTTGTACTATACACATATCCTTCGGTGGTTCTGTTTGTGGCACATGTGATATGTTAGCCAAGAAATTTCGACTCAAACGTATTACGCATGTACTTACCACAAACGTAGTGTGGACAACAGTCAACCAGTTCTTGCTTTCTAACAACTTCGTAGAAGCGCTCGGCGCATTCTTTCAATGCAGGTGGACAGGTGCTGACGTCGCAGACGATCTCTTGTGTCGGACAACAGCCGAGTTCTTCCGTAACCACCTTCTCACCAGGTTTGAGTGCGCGTGGTAATTCCAAGGGCTCGCATTCCTCTTTCGGCTTGCACTCTGTATTTGATATACAAATAGTTAAACCACTTATACACTCTTCTTCATCATAGTACTTACCGCAAATGAACTGCGGACAACCATCTGGTCCGGTTTTCTGCTTCTTAAACTGTCCAGGACCACATATAGGCATTAAGGGTTCGAGACATGCAATTGGTGGCGGTAGCTTTTGTTCGGGCACACATCTGTAACGTGGGCAACACATGTCAGCAGATTCGATCTTCTTCGGTATAAAACCTTCCGCACAGATATTCTCTTCTATCAGACACTTCTGTTCCACGCACTCGACCTTTCCTTCCATATTGCAATTACAATCTGTGCACTTGTCCTTCTTCCACTTATCACCTGGCGCATGCACCAAATCGTCRCATTTCACACACGACTCTTCCGGCACACATTCCCCATATTCCATAACTTTACCGGGTGGACAGAAACAACCTTCGAAACGTTCCTCTGCCAGGCACATATCATTTGATTCCACGGTCTTAACAAACGTGTTGGTCTTCATATTGACCGCATCGAATGTGTGCTGTGCCTTGATCGTATCGCAGGTCTTAGCGCAACCACATGATTCATATACCATATCGCTAGGGCAATCGAAGGGACACATGTCGGGATGACGCCAATACAAGCAGATGCCCTTCTGTGCACACTGGCGCGCATAAGCGGCCATCAAGTTACAAGTACTTTGCTGATGATTKCCGGGCTTACATAATTCTTTTTGGCACAATGCAACAAACTTGCCAGGATCAATGATCATGTTGCACTTTCCGAAGAGCTCCTGATTATAAAACATCAGACAGACATCTTTCTCCGGTGGTGGTGGAACACACTCGTCTTCAGTTATAGTTTCACTGGCGCAAATTTGTAGCTCATTACCCAACTTCGGTTCGTCGGCCTTCCAGCTTTGCAGCACGACTGCCAATTCCTTGCTGGGTGTACGTCCCTTCTTTTTGGCTGGATTYTCTAGTAGATCGTTTTTGGGATTATGATCGCAATCGCCGCAAAGACCCTCCATCTTGCCGCTATACTTGATGCTGGGCACCGAAAACTGTTAGAGATTATTTAGAATTAGTCTTAGTGTATAAAGCAAGCAAACATTTCAATCAAAGCTTACTGTATAGACCATATCATCGTAKGAGACACGTAGATCTACATGACTTTCCAGTAGCGAGAGGAAAAGCTCTTTACCGTTAACTTCACGTATGTTGACCCAAGAATTTTTGAACGGCACATTTTTCTCAGCACCATCTACCAGTATACGAGGCACCTTACCGACACGCGGGCGTTCAATATGTATGAGATGATCCCCATTGAAAGCATGGAAGGATTTAATGCATGACTCATCCGTGGAATTCGAAACATAACCCAGACGCTTGCAGTAATCCATTGTTACGTAAAGCTTTATGGCGGAGTTGTTAAGTTAATTAAGGCATATATTTAGCGCAGCAAACGCACTTACCTGGAAGCTGTATTGACCCGGTAAGACTATATCGCGTGAGAGCAAATATGTACAGTTGCCGTTGAAGTGGAAGTCGCGCTTATCATAAGTGAAGAACTGTGATTTGCCGAAGGAGTTGCACACGCAATCTTTGCATTCAGCAACCGTTATACACTTTTTACCCTGGCGCACTGTGCCCGCGGGACAGTAACAGCCGGGGAAACAGGCRTCGGGTATAATCGGACAGTCGTCGGTGTTTAGCGAGTCGCAGGATGGCTCACAGCGACGCTTGTAGCAATCGGAGTGTATAAGTGGCGCAGGGCACTCAAGTTCTATTGAAAAAATATGTACCATAYATATTTATTTGTCTTGCAATTAAATTTTTTCTGACACCTCAAACGGGTAAAACTACTACTCACCGCATTGCTGCACCGCACGCCACAAATTCAATTGTATATTGGGATTGATTGTCAAACACTTGGCAACAAAGTCCTGTAATGCATTGCATTTGCAAGTGTTGTCCTCGCCCGGATGTGCCCGCAGGCACTCACAAGTGCTCTCCATGCATTTGCTGACGAACTGTTTGTAGTTGACCGCCTTGTTGCACTTAACGAACACCGGATGCCTGGCGGAGTTGAAACAAAATTTCATGTCATTACACAAAATGCGAACTTTGGCGCACACAAAATTCAACTGCACAATCACTTCGGGCATACATAACGCTGTCTCTTATACACATCTAGATGTGTATAAGAGACAGGCCCTAGTAACCACACGCATACAACGGCACTTACTTAATCGCATTGCACAATGCCAACGCCTTCTTTTGCAACTCGAATGGACACGTTTGTGGGTAGCACATCTCCTTCGGTATCTTCTTGTCGAACCAGCTGTCGCCGAACTTGCCCGTGTTCTGTATCAAAGTGCCATCCGGCGTGCGTTTATCGTTGCCCGCAATGCCGTCATAGTAGCCGCAAAGGCCGTCAACGGTGCGTAGATACTTAGAAGATATGCCGATCTTAACGTAACCGATGTCATCATAAAGCACCCAATAGCCATGTTTGCGCGACACGACCAGTACYGTTTGGCCCGGCTGCGAGATGACAAAGGCCGCCTTGCAGATAGGTGAGTTCATTAGCTGCGGCACGGTGTACTCGAAACCATTGAAATTTAGCTTCATATTCGGCATGATCGTCAGTATGGCCGCCGATTCGATGTCTTTAATGGTGATCGATTTGTGACAAACCCGACGTGTCTCATCTTCGCAGAGTAGTTGTACTGGAAATAGAATTTAAGTCGTTAATTTCGGTGCTAATTGAAGCGAAGTCCGGAGCTTCACGTGCCGGACATAGTTCGGTAACGGATTGATGAACACGCTTTCTTTAATCTCTCTTTACGTGCAGATAGAAGGAGTAAAAGATKGATTAGTAGTAAATCCATTCAAACAAGAGCTCAAAATACTAGTTTCAAGTATTCCAACAACTATCGGGTCTAAGTAATTGGAACGGATCCCCATTTTTATTCGGTTAAAGATTATCAACTCTGCACCATTCCTGGAAATTATTTCAGGAATATTTTGGTGTCGTAGTTAGTAGCTGAAACTTAAATTATAAAGCTATATTGCCTAAAATCAGTTCGAGGATCTCCTAATCATCGATCTAACATAACACGCAGTCATTGAAAATTWAAAAACTCATTAGCAACCACTTACCAGTTATCACCCAGTTCGAGTTTTTGATGTCACGCGCCAAGATATGACTGCAAGTGTCGTACTTGAACTCAGTGCCATCGAATGTAGTGAAAAATTTACCACTAATCTCGCACGTATCATCTTTRGTCGGCTTCAGTACGCACGCATACCTGCGGCATTGTCCCGGTTTGGCATTAGACATATCCAATTCGATTTCATAGTTTTCTGGACATTTAGGTTCGACACAGGTGATAGTCTCATTCTTCAGTACCTCCTTTTTAGGTATCGGTACACAAGTGAATTCCGCACACTCTTCTTCCTCGACACCGCTCACTTCTTCCTTGGGCAGCAGTAGGAATTCTTCACTTTCACTTACCAAGACTTTAGTCTTAGTAATTTTGATCATATTGCCGAATTCTTCCATATCGGTGTAACTGAGTATGAGAGGGAGGGTAAGATTTATGAAATATAATRCAGCATATGTATGTAAAACAGAGCTGTACTTACGCTCTGGCGAACATCTGCGACATTTTACGTTGCTTCTTCTCCGTAAGTTTAATCYTCATATCAGGTGGACACTCCGGCTCGGGACATTTGATAATAGTGGCTGTAGGAATTAAGGGATAAAACCTGGATTATATTGTTCATTGAAAAAATATTTTCTTATTAATAGGAAGTCACACTGCTTAATCTAGTCCCTACAAAAACCGCTTTGTGTTTGTGAGCTAACTCTTTCTCCATTCTCACTCCAGTAAAAGTAATACTCACTTTCATTCGCGCTTATAATTGGTTGAGGCGTCACCACTATTGTCTTCTTGCATGACTCGTCTTCATCATCAGCACAATCTTGCACGCCGTTACACCATAATAATTCCGGTATGCAGTCGCCACTTGAGGGACAAATACGTTGATATTTCGGACAGGGCTCACATTTGCAGAAGCAATCCGGTGTCACTAAAGAACGCAAGTTGGTTTCGACGCATGGTGGGCACTTCTTGGGCTTACAATTGGAGTGACCGCCCAAGACGCAAACACATTCTTCGCATTGCTTATTCTCATACTTAGAACCGATGGGATAACTGTAACCGGAAATGAGAGTATATAAAAAAATAATAGAGTTTAGTGATATTCAAAGTCCTAGCTACACCTACGTGCTATATTCATCGACACATGGACACAGATTACTCTGTACACAGTTTTGTCCGTCCCAGAATAAACCGTTTGCGCATTTACACTCTCCACTCTTAGCTGTTGTATCTAGAATGCCATCACAAACTTGACATTTTGGTGGCGGCTTATCGGCCTCGGGCTGTTCTTCCTTAACTTCCACTGTGAATGAAAGATTAAGTATTTCATTTTATGTTAACCGAGCGTTTCACTTACAATAGGTTTCGAAGCAGCCTACTGGTTCTATGCGCATATTTATATTCTCCTCCCACTTCGATGGCACAATCTTGAAGTACTGCGTCAATATGGGTGAACGGAACGTGTTTAGTACCTCACTATTTTCGTCATAGTTGCCACGGAACTGTTCGGGTTGGCCATCAAAGAATAACAGCTTATTCCAAATCAATTTATTCTTCGAGAACATAACCTTAAAGCTAGTAACCCAGCCAGCTGGACCGCCTTTGGTGATAAAACCGGAGATGTTGCGTGGYGCCAAGAAGTCGAATTCCACATATTCATTTGGTGTATTAGCCACGGGACGCCAACCAACTGGTGAGGAAAGCTTCAGTAGATCTATAAGACGTGGCTTCTTTGCCGGCTGTGGCAATGACCAAATGCTGCTAGACTTCACTTGTGAGGAATGCATTTTACCATTGTCCACACCCATGCGATCCACGCACTTGCCTTCATCTTGCCAATTAACCGGTCTAGTTGTCGTGGTTTGTATGAGTTTCTCAAACTTTGGCTCTGGCGTGTTAACTGGCGTCGTTGTTGTGAGCGGTTCACCGCAGCCCAACAACTCCACACGCATGGCAATATGGCGATACCATTTCATGGGATAGATACGTACAGATTTCGCTTCGACAGGTGTGTGGAAGAGTGTTTTATGTGGCTTACGTGAATCGAGTGGACCGTTAAACTTTTGTGGTATGTCATTCTCTTCCACCAAAAAGTGATAAGATTCTCCATCAGGACTGTAAAGTATCTGTGAATGTGTGGGCATTGCAGACTGCTGATTCGAGACAAAAATCATTTGGATTTACCTTGAATAGCGTAACATATTTATCAAAATCTGGACTTCCAGCCATAACCACACCAAAGATGGGTTCCGGTTCCGGAAAAGTGACCTGTAGATATTGCATCTGATCATCGATACCGGGCGACCAACTGCCCACACTGTTCTGGGGGTTTGCAGGAAGACGGGCCATGAAGGGCGCATTATAAGCATTGAGTGTAGAGCTCGCATTGAAGACGCTATCCGGCAATGGTGCATCGCCCTGTATCAGCGGTATCAAGCTAAAAGTGTAGAGATTTATTTTCGCGTAAGCACTTTCATAATATCTGCACACTAAACTAACCGTTCTGGCTCGCACTTCAGATGTGGTACGATTGTGGTTGGCAAGGCGTCTGGCTCATGCTCGTCAACGGCGGGAGTTGTGACCATATATGCTATTTTTTAAAGCAGAGTAAAGTAAAATATAGTTTTATAAATCATAAGCAAAGTTAATACTGAACGAAACGTCCTCCACTGAGCACTTACGCAATTCCGGCACTTCATTTGGTACGCAAGTGTATGCATTATCAATACATTGACAAACTTCGGTCTCACCGGTCACAGGCATATGCGGCTGCACGTATTTCTCCGATTTGTCCATGCATGGACATTCATCTATTTCYACGCAAGTATTCTCATCGCGCCAGTACTTACCCACAGCAAAGCAATCGGGTCGGCTCTTATCAACACAGCCACGTTTGCAGTGTTCGCCGTTCTGGCAGAGACCACGTTTGCGCAGTATCTGGAAGGATAAGTACAAGACGTTTTCGAATTAGATCTTACATTTGACTAAATATGGGTGTAGAAGAGACGMGCGCTGCCACTTACTGAGCCATAATAATCGCAGGCGAATTCACATTGATTTGCGCACTCAACTATCACTTGATCTTCAGCGCATTCGTTCGGTGTAATGGGCTCCGTAGGCACCTTGCCACAGCTTGGTTTGATCTCTTGTACAGTTGCTATGTGATCACACACGTTCAGTGTTGGATTGAACATCATGTATTCACCGCAGGTCTTCTCCACATAATTCCAACCATTGCCGTTGGTCGTCGGCTGACAGTGCAAGAATTTGTGACAATCGCCAGGATATTCTTTATACTCGGCTATCACAGAATCGCATGGCAAACCAACTTGCGGCTTTTCAGTAGCCGGCGTTGTCGTGACCACTGCTTCGTCGCACTCACAGAATACGCGCAACTCATAATCGTGACATTGTCCCTTACAAACGAGTCCTTCAGCTAAGCTGCAGCGCACATTCTCATCCATATAATCGGGTGATTCGTGTGTATCCACCACGCGACATTCAATTTTCTTCATATATTTCTTCTGACATGTGCCATAAATGCTCTCCATACGATCGTAACGTGGCAACTTCTCCTCATCATTCAAACGCACTATCTTGCCCGTCGCATCGCCGTCGTTATCGAACCAACGTGTCCATCCACGTACACATTTCGGTTGCGTATCGGTGCCATAGGCATGTGGTGTCGTGCTTTCAAGTAAACTATTACTTGGACGCTCTGTTGTTGTTAGCGGTTCCTTGCATTTAACGCCACTGCAAACTTCTTTCTTCTTCGAGCAACGGCAGGTGGCGCAATCGTCGGTATACGTTACATCACCTTCGTAGTAAGTTTTGCCATCGCGTATCATACAAACCGGCTTGCAGTCAGCCTTCGGTACACATTCTTTATAGGTGTCATTTAGATAGATCATGCCTTCACCGCAGGGCTTTATGAAGCAACCCTCAATGCAGTTCTCTTGATTGCACATGCGCTCCGTCATACCTTGGTCGAGGAAGTTGTCGCAAGTTTCGACAGCACACGCAGGTGTACACGCTTTGTACTCGGCGCAGTGGGGATCACATTGCATGGCTGAAAATAGTACAGAAATTTTTTATCACAAGGGTGTACGGGGTATTGCGGATATGTTAGGAGAAAGAATTCCTTATAGGTTCGTTTGAGCTTATAGGTTAGGTTTGAGCCCTTATGCTGGCGACTAGAGTTCTATATGACTTTGATAAGTTAAGTCTAGATAGGAACAAAAATTTTTACGTTCCTGTGTTAATGGTAGATAGCTAAATGCAGTCACGTCCGGTTGTCCTAATCGAATGGAAAAGTCTCCGGCCAACCATAGTAAATTTTTTAGCCAAAATTCGTTTTTTTTTTTTTCCACCTTTTTCCCTTTAAGAGTGATACAGTGATTATAGCGACCCTGACTTTTCAATACCTATAATGCGAGTCATAAAAAAAAGTAGTATTTTATTTTGACCACATAACCACTCTTCTTTTGAACATTTATGTATACTTAAGGCTTATAATCCTATTGAAAATGTAATAAATTTTAATCTTCTTGTAACTTCTGTCAAGTGTGAATAATTGCTTGCGGCCCTGAAAATGGATTTTCCGCACAATCACGACCTGGTAAAATATATTCGCGACTGTCGAGAGAATCCCGTTGCAAGGTGAGTTTAAGTGTGTGTGCCAATGTGAAAATCACAATGAATAATTTTCAAGTATCATATACGGCTAATCGACAAGTCTACTTCGGCATAAGTATAATGTAACAAAAGAACATATAAATTTTAAGAATATATATACATATTCATAGAAATATAGTAGAGGCATACCCGGAGCATATGTATATATAAATATATGTAAATGTGTGGCTCTCGAAGCATAGTTATGCCACTTTACCGCGACAATCGAAGCTTAAAGCGCTTGTTCTTGCATATTTTGCTGCATATGTAAGACTGTGAAACGCGTCTACCACTTGCATTGTCGTCGGCGTTGCATGTGACGATTTGCACTAATGAATAATTGAAAAGACAATGATTTTCAGCTACTGCATTCACACCGAGCGCCACACACACACACTTGTAACCATTAAAGCTTACAGTGACCCTACAGTAAGCAACTTACTTACATGCACACGCATATGTAGTACACACAGTTTATATAKGTATTTGTAGTACTTACGACAGAAGTGCGGCGTACGCCAACGTATATTGATGCCGTGCTGGGAGCAGGCGTGTGCATAGGCAGCCACCGCTGTGCATAGACACTCGCAATCGCCGCCCTGATCGCAGGCGCACGTATCGAATATGCAACGTTTCAGGTACTTCTCGACAGACACTTCAGCATGACAATCCTGTAGAACAGAAGAAACAGAGAGAGAGTGAGTGAGCTGTGTGCGATTGCGGCAGGTGGAAAGTTAAGTGGAGAACAGCGCACTTAAGTATTAGTATGGCAATGCGTATTGGAATTTTAATTATCTGCCGTCTACACYATACTCACCTACACACRTACTTACACACTTGCACATGTACAATGGTCGGCATTCTTACCTTAAATATTTCCGATTTAAGCACGCCACACTTGAGCTGCGCCCACGTCTCACGTTCCGGATGCTCTTTGCACGCATCTATGGGTGTCGTTGGCTTGGCGCAGAACTGTTGCACCTTCCATGCGTGTCCGAAGACGAGCGGACTAGTTTCGATGCCTTGCGATGGCGTTTGCATATCATCCACGGCATTGTCATTGTAATTGCCGCACAATCCTTTTACTTTGTTCTTCCATTCGTTGCCGACTTTCACGTAGACGCGTGTACCTTCATCCCACTTCACTTGCAATTTGAGCGGTATTACTTCGACCACAATGAATACGCCGGCCTTGTAGATGTGGAAGGCGCCATGACCCTTGGTGTTGCTTGCATCGCGAATTTCTGTAAGTTGTTGGACTGTTAGTTAAAAAGCTTTAAAGCATGCCAAGTGTTCTTTAAGTAACTATTATTGTATTCTTGCCATTATCTTTCCTAATCGAAAAGCAGACTGCCGGTTTCAACTTCGATCAAGTCTGCTTTTCTGAATAACATATCGTAACGTGTTCAATGACGAGCTCAAGCTCTTTCAGACAAAAGCTTCTTATCCCTCTATCTATAAAGTAGATCAAGCAAATCGTAAATATAAAGGTACAGAGTTCTCAGACGAGCTCCAGTATAAGATCCTTTTGTCGGAATCTTCTAATCTTTCTGTCTATTAAGTGTATCCAGTAAGTTTATTAAGTGTAAGCTCTTCAGTCAGAGCCTTCTTATCCTTCACTCAATAAAGTAGATCCGGTGTATCTTAAATTTAAAGATGCAAAGATGTAGACAAGCTTCAGTATAAGACATTTTAGTCGGAGTCTTCTAATCTTTCTATTTATAAAGCAGATCCAGGAAATTTTAAGTCCACGGACATCAAGCTCTAGGTAAGCTCAAGTATAAATTCTTTTAGTCAGAGCCTTCTTATCCCACTATCAATAAAGTAGATCCAGTGAATTTTAAGTTTAAAGATACAAAGTTGTAGGTAAGCTGCAGGTTAAGACCATTTAGCAGGAGACTTCTTTTCTTTCTATCTATAAAATAGATCCTGTAAATTTTAAATCTACAGGTACCGAGCTTTARGTAAGCTCAAGCATAACCGGCCTTTAATAAAGAGTCTTCTTTATATCTATAAAGTATGTCCAATAAACCTTACATTTAAAGGGAATTTAATATATTACATTAAAATTTTCGAGTTTAAGACTTTCGAGAATGGTCCGATTTGTAAATATTTTGCTACTCACTCTTAATTTGCGACTTGTTTGGATCAGTTATGTAAGACGCGTCAGAGGTTAGTGTTATCRAATCCTGTACGCTGCCCGATAGTGCGATCTCCACCGATTTCGAGCAAGTAACGCCCATGGTCCCACATAAGACATTTTGAATTGTTATCGTGAAACCATCGCCATTCTCCGCGACACCCTTGGAGAGTATATAATCGCAGGCACCTTGGAAGTCGAAGTCATGATTATCATACGTGGTGAAGTGCGAGTCACCCCAGACGGAGCAGGTTGAACCACAACCATTCGCAGAGCACGTCCAGTTTCCGCTCTTACAAATACTGAAACATACAGAAACAGTGAAGGTGAAAAAAAAAACAAGAAGAACTTTAAAAATTTACCATTGATTGCAATCCTCTTTGAACTTGTCACCATCCGCGTAACTCTTACCRCCATGATGGCAAGAGCAAAGCTCCGGTAGCACACAATCTTTGCGGGAAGTATCATAAACATAACCCGGCATGCAGACACAGCCTGGCACACAATCCTCGATATTCTCCACATACTCATGCATATTCTTGCAGGTCTTCGGTTCAGCGGGCGCACACTTTGAGAACTCAGCGAATGGCCGATTCACGCATTCGGCACGCAGTTGTGATGAAGGTGGATATTTCTTCTCATCTTCAGGGCCAGCGTCCTCACACTCCCAAAGGCCATTAGTGCAAGTGCTAGGGAAAACACAAAATCTCTGCTAATAGGCAAGAAAAGCGAAGAATGCTTAAAATTTACCATAAATCAGGGAACTTTGCACCTGGACGCACTTCCTTGTAACCCGATTTAAAGGTCATGCCATCGTAAGTGCATGAGCACTTGTGTTGCGGTACGCATTCGTTATTTTCGTTCAAGTATTCACCATGCGGACAACGACAGCCTTCGACACATTCGGTCTTGCAAGAGTTTTTATTCGCCAAATCACCGCAGGTGCGCGCACATGAATCACCGCACTCATCATACACTTGACCCATCGGACATTTCACCGCTGTAATATATTACAAAACTCGTCACGTCAATTTGAAGCACAGCTACCACAGCTAATTACTTACCGCACTCCTTCACCGCCATGCGCCAGCCAGTCTTGATACCTTGACGTGTACATTCGTTGCCGTAGGCAGCCAAAATGGGACAAAAACATTTGTCCGGCTCATCTTTACACGCACACACGTCGTACAAGCAATCCTCATAATATTGCTCTGGTTCGACGGTCCAGTGGCAGTCTTGGAATATATCATCCATAATCCAGTTGCAGTATTTTTCGGCATTTGTGCGCTTTTCCGGATTAGCGCTGCACGGATGTGGGCCAGGTACTGTTTCAGTCGGAAAATCGCAAGTATCCTTGGTACGCCACTTGTCTGCAAATGGCTCCACAGCCGTTTCAATGTCACCTTCCGGCGTTAAGAAATCATCTTGTGTATTCGAATTGAATGTACCGCAAAGACCGGCGGTCTTATTACGATAACTGGGTGGCGCATCGATGTAGACACGTGAGATACCATCCCACCAAACACGTATGCCATCGGGAAACTCAACAGTCATAAAACTCGAACTGGCCAATCGCATGAGCACCTCTCCGGCGCCGAGAATTTTCGGGAATTTCGTAATTTCCTTCTCGTTTACGTGCACAGCCATGCCCTGGTTCAAGCGCACAGTATGCTGTACGCCATTCTTAAGCGTAAAACGTAGCGTTACCGACTTGGTGCAAGATGGATTATCCGCAGCGGCTACCAAATTGAGATTCTCAGAGATGGCACCAGAACAAGCCACGTTCTCCGCCTCTACCGAAAATTTGTCGTTCTTCAACAAATAGTATGAGCACTGACCCATGAAGTCAAAACGTTTGCCATCGAAAGTTTGGTAATGCGGGTCACCTATTGCACCACAGCGTGCRCCACATTGCTCGTCCGTACATTTCCACTTGCCGCTCTTGCAGGTGCTGTCACATAAAATTGTTTATAGCAGATATCCACTAAAGTACACAAAAAAATTTTTTTTTCTTTTTTTAGATAGCTTACCATGTGTTACATTTCTTCTTTATGACGGCCTCCGGTTTGAACTCCTTACCGCGCATGGTGCATGGACACAGCTCCTGTGTGATGCACGCATCTTGGTACTGCACYGTAYCGGCGGGGCAGAAGCAACCTTCATTGCATTTKCCGGGGTTCGGTGTCACCGCCATGTCACAAGTRGGCTCTACGTCAGGGCCGCAAGGCAGATAGACACGTCCATAGCTACAGCTCACAGCTAAAATTCATTTGTTTAAATATAAAGAAGGCCGCGTTATGTGTATATCGTTCACTTACGACAAATCTCCAAATTACGCCAACCATGCTCTAGCTTTATACCCTTAAAKATGCACTCCTTAGCCAACATGGAAACGGCATCGCAGTTACAAGTCTCCGGATGTTCACGATTCGGACAATTGCAATAATCATCAACGCATGCGCGCAACAAAGCCTCAAAGTTTATGCCTTTTATGCAGTCCTCTAATTTGTCATTCGACAAAAGACGCTTGCAGACGTTAACTGCCTTCACGCGTTTCGTCGCTTCACAAGTCTCCGAACCGAATTCCAATTCACGACTATTCTCCATTATACACAGGTCCGAACTATCTTCAACACGCCATGAGTCGGTGAAGGACTTAACCGTCTCCACGACCACACCACCTTTCGACATCAAGTCGTTCTTGTAGTCACCATCTAATGTGCCGCATAAACCGCCAACTTTGGACCACAACAACGGGCCCGCATGTATGCCGAGATACTGATGACGATCCCAGTCGATTTGTAGCCCAACGGACTCCAGTTGTATCTGTAAATGCTCTGCCACCGGTATTATTTTCATGCCCATCACCTGTACGGGTATGGGAAATTTCTTCGTCGGCGTGGATAGATGTACAGTRCCATCTGCGAGAAAAGTGTGCGACATTATACATTACCTTGGTGCTAATTAATAATGGGCAAAGTAACTTACTAATATTATCTAGAGTGTATGGTATGGACTGCCAGTAGATGGTCAGCGCATGYGCACACCCATATCCAGAACCATATGGACAGGCGTTAAGTGTAATATCAAATGTGGCATCGATCTTATCGTTAATTAGCGTGTGTGAACATGAAAGAGGAGCTCTGGAAAAAATTGGGGGTTATTGTTAGGGGTCACAAAGATATAGGTGGTTTTTGAGGTTAGTATTTAAAAGCTATACATTTAAAATTTAGTGACATGCRCGTAAGATTTCCACTACTTACTTGAAAACCAAACCATCAAAGGTCTTCATATTAATGCCACCCCAAGTGGTGCACAATGCCGGCTTGGGCGTACGATCGATCATCACATCGACATCGCCTTCGGTGTAGAGTGTGTAGCGTGTCGACGAAACTTGTGTCTCCTCAGAGGACCACCACTCCTGCATTGCGAAAAGAGTTACAAATTATAACCTTGGAAAGTGTAAAATATTTTCGAAAAGACATTACACTGTGAACATTCGAAAATTTATCAATTATGGCTTGTATACGCTCACGCTCGGTAGCCCATTGCTCGCCATGGCCATAAATTAGCTTACCGCCGCTAGCACCGCTACCAGAAGTTTTATAGCTTGTAGAGGTCTTACGGACTGTGTAACCAGGAGCTGCGTTATAAAAATGAGTAATTAAAAAAATTCCGATAATAAGTGAAATCTTCGAGCAATATTTATTTTAAAAAATATTGATAATCCACTCACCATAGACACACTTGGGCAATGGTTTCGGATAGAAATCACCGACACTATATTTGCATGTATACTCAATATTGAGGTTGCCCTGCACCGTTATACCCGGTGATGACGCGCATGAAAATTTGCACTTAGCCTCCAAGCCATCGTATTTACATTTATAATTGCCATTGAAGCCAGTGTTGGTTACGTTACAAGCCTGCACGCCTTCAGGRGGTAGCGAATGAAAAACAAAAGGTTAGAAGAGTATAAATTAATATTATATATCCATGTGGCAACCCTCTACATATAATTTTTGACATTGTTCTTTTACCAAGGCTTTGCTCGAAAATTTAGAGCTTCACTTGTAATGTTTGTAGCATATATGCAATATTTAGAATATTTTTTATAAATTCATATGTATGTATATCTGGCAACTCTTTAAAAAAATAAAATGTTACTATTTTTGACAATTCTTGTATAAGTCACCACGTTTTAGCTAACTTGTAAGGCTTTATAGTGTGTTAATCGAACCTATTTGGCAACGCTAAACAATTTTTTTTTAATTCTCTTTTAAAGTTTAGCATAAATAATATAATATCTGGCTGGTAATATTTTTATGAATTATAGGATTTTTTTGTTTATTTCATAAAAATACATACATATCTGACCAGATGGCAACTCCACGATTTTTTTTAGAAAGATGTTTTAAAAAATGAGAGGTTCTTACAATTTCTTAATCAGATACATGTAGCAACCCGGCAAATACTTGTGTAGAATCTGGTAGTAAAATATCTATGCAAAATATTTATATAAATATATATTGTATAGATATAACAGTACTTTAAGATAGGGTTACCAACGGCATTAAAATTGAAATACTCACTGTATTGACAGGAGTCGCCGCGATATTGCTGAGTGCATTGACACATATTAAATGAGATGCATTTACCACCATTCTGACAGGCTGGCTCACAAATCGCTGCGTGAGAGAGAGAAAGAGAGTGTAATAAAGAGAGAACTCACTTTAAGTTATAGAAATCTATGATGTAAAAATACTCACGCGCACAATCCGGCGGCTTCACTGAGTTTGTCTGCTTATGAAACCAAACACCATCCACGCATTCGAGATTCGTTATGGAACTGCCATCGGGATATTGAAAACCACTCATGCACTCAGCATTGCAGACGCTAACAAAAAGAAGAACAGATTTCTCAGTAAAAAAAATTTAATKTGACACTACGGTACTCACTTGTTTCTACATTGTACACGCGAATTTTTCGGTATCGGCGGCTTGCCGCTGCAGAAGGTTTTCTTATTCTGACACCATGGACCATAGAAATTCTCAGCGCACTTGCAAACGCCAGCTTCAACACAGATACCGTTGTTCTCACAAGGTGGTGAGCAAGTAGCTAAGGAAGGAAAAGTGAAGAAGTGTGGAAAATGCTATCATTGCAGGGTCTGAACGTAATTTTCCACTAATTTTACATACCTTGACAGGGAGGCACACTGGTAAGCGCTGAGTCACGTATTATCCAATCACCATTTATGCAGGCCAATTTCAGCGAGTTCGCGCCATCAGGGAACCGATATTCAGCCGTACAACTGACCTCACACTGACTGCCACGGCACTTTAGTGACATTTTCGATGGCAATTGATATGCCGGGCAATCGCCGTAGGGGGGTATTTGAGGGTTTTCGTGTGTTAAGAAATCATAGCTGGACTGTGCGCCGAAACTATTAGAATGTTAGGAAAAAGTATTTAAAAGAGATCTAGGAGAGAGATATCTAAGAGGCAGAGARTAAGGTTAGTTCTGGCGAAACCAAATAGTGGAATCCCAGCCATATGGTAGAAATTTCAAAACTGTCAGCTTGATCTTTCTTAACATACTGATATTTTATTGCATTCCACTAAAGGTTGTGGGACACGTTGGTTTTCTTATTGTACTCCTAATCAACCCCACTATGTAATCGAAAGTCAAATGCACCTACCTGCCAGATCCATAGCCGCCCTTATAGTGCTTTCCACTACTGCCGTAAGCACTATATCCAGCACCATAGCCACCTGCACCACCACCATAACCGCCGCTGCCTCTACCATGATTGTGGCCATAACCAGCGTAACTCGTCTTGACGCCATAAGCGCTGTGGAGAATTGTTTAACATAAGCAGAAAATATAAAAATATATGTAATGATAAGACATATCAAATAAAGAGCAAAAAAAAAAAACGAAAAAATAACTCTGCGGCAAAGACTTACCCGCCACCGCCATAAACAGAACCGACGCCTAAGTTCAGACTGCAAATAGAAGGTTGCAAATAAAATTAGTCGAGCTTATCAGCGTTCACTTTTTCAAGACTTTCCGTTTTAACTCGATAACAGAATTGCAAACATATTTATGCATATTAAAAGCATACCCCATTGGGATTTATAATTTTATGAGCTCATATTATATAACGAAAATATTATATTTGCTTTCGCCACAATGTTTTTGTAATTTCTTAAAATATTTACTTTAAACTTAACTTACCTAATCGGGGCCACCGGCTGAGCCGCTGGTGCTTTCTTAAAATATGAAAACAAGTCGCGTTCCTCACGTTCATTATCTTCAGCTAAATTTTCGTTCTCGGCGCTGATTGGACTACAGAAAGGGAAGAAAATTAGAGACTCAAATAAATAATAAATGTTAAAATTTSTGAAATACTTCAAATTACATACATATTATATCTATAAAAAATATAAAACAGAAAAAAATCTTACATAAAATACCATTAATCGGTCACAGAATTAAATTACTTTCAATAGGAGACTATATACAACCATAAAAAGGAAACTAAAATTCCAAAAAGTTATACCATTAGGTCGTGCGAGAGTCGTGTCAGAAAAAAAATTGTATTTGCCAGCCGATCTAGTTCATATAGTACCGATGCATTAAGGGGCGAGCCCGCTTTAAAGGCTTCAAAAATCGTGGAATTTTTCGGGAGGGAAAGAAATAACTGATTAAAGCGAAATTTCTAGGGTTTATAGTTATATATTTAAACATCATTCACAAATTTTTTGGATACGAAATCTTTGATATTCTCCCGTTAGGAAGCTAGTGCCCGCTGCATCTCGCATGTGCATTTGTCGGCGGGCAGGATGCAGGTCGCAATTTCTATTGGAAAAAAACGTTCAAAGAGACTTGTATTTTTTTTTTTAATTTATCTTCTAGTTAAACTAAAAACTTTCAAAAAAAGTGTAAAATTTTACAATTTTTCAAAAATAAAAAAGTGGTTTTTGACCAAAAAAATTCACTTTATGTTGTTTAAAAATATGTTCAAACTTGACTTTTTTTAGTTTTTTTTAGTTTAAATGGAAGATAATTTATTGCCAAAGATAATAAACTTTGCCCCAGTTCCATACGACGTTTAGTTTTTTTTMTATCCTGCCCGCCAATTAAGAAAAATCGTAAAAATGGAAAAGCGAGAAATCGCACGTCAAAGTTTTCGCCTTCTGCCTAATCGCTCATATATCTGCTAGACGCTCGATCACTATTTCCCTTCTAGCTTCGAAAATATTCTCATATAAAACTATGTGGACTTATTCTTAGATTATTTTTAAAGAGATTTAATTAAAAAAAAATTGAACTTTTGAAGCTTCCAATGCAGGCTCCCCCCTTAATAGAGGTTAGATTTATCAGTTTGATCTTTCCAAAGCTTATATTTTAACAAAGGAATGTTAGAATTGTGGATGACGGATATGCCAATAATAGAATCGTTGATTGATTTGATATGGTGGCAGTACYCAAAATCCATTTATGAAATTTCATACAACAGAAAGGTTCACTTATGACATTTCCAGTTTCATACATCAGAAATGGGTACTAGGCTGTACTTTGGTTTCAAAAAAAAAAAAAAACAAATTTGTTCGCTCAAAATCGTTATTGGTAACAAATTTCTTTCGTTTTTCTCTGGAAATTTACTTACTTTAGCAGTATTATAACCGAAACTCCATCTTTCAATGGTTGTAGAAGTTCTAACAAGACTCTGTCCTATAGGGATTAATTTAGGAAGGCTTTAAATTGTAAAATGTATTGTTAGAAGTSAGTTGCATCGGCTGTTTGACTAGATTATATGGAATCATCTCAACAATTCCTTCTTTTTCCTGCTTTTGGTAAATCATGATAAAAATAGTTGGTATTTCACATTTTTAGAATACTCGCAATGCTGAAAGACCAAGCATTTAATACAACCTAACTAAATCTACACATCTCAACTCGAGTTAAGTTTGGCTCCGAAGGACAGCATGTGACGTGAAGACAAAGGACTCAASTCCTTGTATGAAAAGCTTTTTTATTTGACTTGATATTCCCACAAAATGTAGCGAAGATTATGGAGTAAACCAATACTCCTATTTGCAAATATATTGATTAGGTCGGATCACTCTGGCATATGGCTGCCATACAAACTGATCGATCCAACTCATCTCCTTGTATGGAAAACTTTTTAATTTAACGAGATATCTTAACGAAATTTGGTATGAATAATTCCCTAAAGCAACAATCTTATGTCCAAAGAAATTTTTGAGATCAGACTACTATAGCATATAGCTGTCATACAAACTGACAGATCCAACTCGAGTCCTAGTATGAAAAACTTTTTTATTTGAATTTATATTCTCACAAAATTTAGCGTAGATTATTGACCATGGCAATGTAAAAATATTCGAATATATTGRTCAGATTGGTACCCTATAGCATATAGCTGCCAAATAAAATGAAGAAAATATCACTTCTTCATTGCACTTCCCACTTCCACAGCGTTAAATTCACCCACTCACCTTTGTACATCAGCATCCGCGGCTATTTGTTGGCTACATTGCTGCAGCAACAACAACAGCAAAGCAAAAATCAACTTTTCGTTCATAATCTTTTAGTTCCAAAACGCTTTATATATCTAAATGTATTACTTTTCAACTCACAAAGTACAGTTTGCGCAAAATTCACCACACAACGGAAGTCATTAGCGATCACTTTTGATATATAAATGCAAAAAAATTACGAGATCATTCACAAAACTCTTTTAAACAAGTGTGTTAACTATTATCCTTTATTATCCTTTAAGGATCTAGTGATCCGGCCTATAGCCTACAAGACATATCGTTTTGCCTTTAAGCGCAGGCATATGCTTTTTCCACAATTCACACAACTTTTAACAATTTTGAGTATTTTTTTACAATTTTTAGTCCTTTTTCACAATTGTGAGTCCTTTTGCACAATTTTGAGTCCTTTTTCACAATTTTGACTCCTTTTTTTTATAATTTTCACCACTTTTTAACACTTTTTCACTTCAACTGCATTCGCGGGACTTAACGACGAATCGAAACCGAGCGCTGGGCGCACGAAAACTGACCAACTCTAGCGCAAACAAGCACTTTTATAGGCGCGCAGGGGATATTTTTTTCCTTTTTTTTTTATTTAATTTTACTCCAAATTATAAAAATTTTTATGTTCTCACAGCGGAACAACTCAATGGAACTCGGCATTCAGCTACTTGGTTTTATCGCTGAAACGCGTAAAAAATGCTCGGAATGTCAGAGCGGAAGTGTGCGATAGCGTTGCCATATTTTCAAGTGCAGCTTCACACTGCTAACCGATCGTGTGTTTCACACATATAAACTAGAGCTCACGCGACTTGCGCTCGCAATTGCTTATCACTTGCAAGCTGGACGCATGCTATGCTACCAGTAAACACTTGCTTGTTTGTGGGTGTGGGTGTGCCTGGATAAAACTTCTTTTTATAAAAAAAWCGTTTCAGTTTTATATAACCCATTAATATTATATAACCACTTATGTTTCCTTTCTGAAATATTGCGAATGTGTGTGAAAAAATCGCGTTGGCTTGAGCTTGACATACTTTCTGCTGCCGATAAGCGTTTCTTCAGGGCGCTAGCTCTGCAATCTTGAGCGCAGCATGCGGGTTGTTTATTTGATAAGATTTTACAGCTACATTTTTTATGTTGCAAATATGTTTAACTTTTTATTTTGCATGAATGAAGATATGCAGCCATTTACGACATTGAGCTGATTTGGTGGCGAAATTAAGATAATTTTTTGGTTGAAACTGCTATGAAACCGCACAAATTTTAAGTACATTTCATTTTCATAAAAAAAAAATGTATATCAGAACAAGCAAAAAAACATAATGCTTCGAAATTTTTTTTATTTTAGCAGTTTGATTTTAGGGGCTTTTATATATGACATTTTTTTGCAATTTAATCTGAAGCGTGCTGAGCGTTTTGTTTTTTGATAATTTTCTCTTTTGAACTGCTCGTATGACCTTCATGAGTTGTTGAACCCAAATAAAAGCTTAATAAATTGTAATGAAATATTGTAAGATTTAGTGATTTTCAAGACAAAAACCGCATACTTGTTCGTTGCTATTATCACTGGTCTTACTGTTTTTTTTAATAACTTTACTCTGGTTTTATTATCAAGTGTTCTTATAAGGCAATGCCTTGTTTAAAATACAAAAGCTGGTGATATTGTGAAGAACTAAATTATAATAAAATCATAATAAATAAAATAATTTTAAAAGATGAATGTTTAACCAAAAGCATTCTTCCGAAGTCATGATATAAATTTAATCAATGGTAAATATTTTCAACAGTTTTCATTCAGAGCAGTACTTGAAATTATTATCCCMGATAGGGAAAAAATTAGCGCTCAATTTTATATTTCTTTACTTTTCAGTTTGATGTATTTTTTCTGAGAATGCAGATTGTACTCAGATTCAGATAATTCTTTCTTAATATGAGTCAAACAATCGATACTTTGATTACCTCGATGCCACGGCAAGAACTCACCTAGGTAAGATAGAGGTTGCTAGTAGTACTTATTCTTGAATATATATGGATGAGGTACTCAAGTCTAAAAATTTGAAAAAAATCGATTTTTTTTTCTTCATTTGATAGTTTAGATATTCCATTATCTGCTAAAAATGGTTTTCAAAGCTCAATTTATTTATAGCCGTTTAAGTGTTGCGGTGTAGCGGATTACGAAACTTTGAACGGATTCTSCTATGATTGAGGTAGTTGATATGATACTTCAAGTTCTATTCAACCGAATACTTTGAAATTTGAAAGAAATCTTTATTATACATCTCCCTATCGTACCTGCTTTGGATTTGGTAAAATCTTAATTTTGAGTATTTTTAC